ATTGCAGTCAGCGGGGAAACATCCTCTTGGGAGCCGGTTCCACAGAGAAAGATCTGTTCAAGTGGAACATTTTTATACACACACACACATACACATATATATATATATATATATATATATATATATATATATATATATATATATATATATATGTAAAGTGTGTATATAAATATGAATATATATATATATATTATATATATTATTATTTATATATTATATACGCTGTACTTATTAGAAAGCGCTCAATATCAGAGATAGAGCTAACATCGCAAAACGTGAAACCCAGGATCACACACACACTATATATATATATATATATATATATATATATATATATATATATATATATATATATATATATATTCTAGCTAAGTTATTGATTCTTCATCCAAAATTATTTTTGACTGCACCCATTTCAGAGTAGAAACCTTTATTTTAAACAGTGTGAATTACGTCTACAGACTTGTGTCTTCAAGCGACGCTGGATCAGACAGTAGTCTCACCTACAAGTGAGAACGTTGTTTCAAACCCGGCCGAAAAGCAAATACCTTTTAATAATGCTTCTAAATGCGTATGTCGGTAGATGTAATTCACACCGTTTAAAAAAAAGAAACAACATCAGGCGGTCTACTCAAACATGGGTATCCACAAAATAGTGTTTGGTGTAATAGGAATATATATATATATATATATATATATATATATATATATATATATATATATATATATATATATATATATATATTACACTGGTGCACGTGTTTGCGAGTGTGAACGAGACATCAGACCTGTTCTTACCCTAATGAATTGTATGTGACCTGCTGATGTCGATTCTGTTGCCATAGAACTTGTGCCGTATCAACAAATATCATAACTGAGATGTGTTGATTTAGTTAACGGAATAAAGGCGGCTTTGATCGTGTGCATAACGAGTTTCAGATGTCAGTGTTGCGTCAAGAAACACTTTTCTTTTGCCTCGGTTTGGTCTTCTTTAGAACATGCTTTGTGTGCAGTTCTGCTGTGTAGTGTGTTGTAGAACAGCAGTCAGGGGAGAGAAGCAAAAAAAAGTGTTTTTTTTTTAATTGCTTACAGACTGATTAAGA